TTCACTGTGGCTATTATAAGAGATAAGATTAAATATTTTTTTAAAGATAAAAGTAATATTACTTTAATTATTTAAAGAAAAGATATATGAATTATGTTTTTAATAATAAAATAGGCATTAAATTGTTTTTTATACGGATAACAAAAGGGGAAATAGACTTTTATGTTATACAAGAGAAATTTTTTCTCAAGCACACATATTAGAGAAGAGGTCCACTTTATATTTTTTGTCTTTTCTCTATTCTTTTTTTCTCTCTTTTCTCCTTTAATATATATGTATAAAAGAATTTTTCTCTCATATAATACGAATATTAATTTCCTCGTAACAAAAATATTGTTAGAGAAGTTTTATATTAAAGATTAAATTAATATTTTTTAAAAAAATTTAACCAAGTAATATGATTGATTTAAGTTCATGTTTAGACATAAGTGATATTTGTGTGCTCCCGACACAATTTTTTTTGGGGCGAAGGTGAAAGAAAGAGAGAGAGGAGAGATGAGAACAGTGACTAAAGTGTCACTGTTGGCAAAAAAAATATCAAAATGTTACGTCAACAGTAAATTTTGTCAAAATGTCACGTGGCATATTTCGCTACACTGTGTAGCGAAATATGTGTGCAAATAATTCGCTACACAGTGTAGCGAAATATGCCACGTCAGAATGCACAGAACTAAAAATGCCACGTGTCAGGCAGGGAGAATTTTGTTACACTGTGTAGCGAATTTCTCCCCGTTTGACACGTGGCATTTTTGGTTCTGACGTGGCATATTTCGCTACACCGTGTAGCAAATTATTTGCACACATATTTCGCTACACAGTGTAGCGAAATATGCCACGTGGAATTTCGGCAAAATTTACTATTGACGTGACATTTTGGTTTTTTTTTTTGCGAACAGTGGCAAAATGGTCACTGTTCCGGAGAGATGAGACAGAAACAAATTTTAGTCCAAGTATCAATTTTTCAATGAAAGGATCATGGTAGTCTTGGACCATATTAAAATTTTCCTTTAGACAGATAACAGGAACAATAATCAAAATGTCACTTTTTGACAAATTTTTTATCCAAATGTCACGCGAACAGTACTTTTTACCAGACTGCCACGTACACTTTTGCAGGAAAAAACTGACGTGTCATAATTCGTTACCAGTGAAAGCAATGTTGAGAAAACCGGCCCACCAACCGGTCCGATTCTTGCAACGGACCGAATATGTAATTAACCCGGTATAAATTGTCGAACCGATTTTGGAAAAAATAATTCGAATTTTGGAACCGCTGGGGTTCAAACTCGAGTCTCATGAGTATGCCCAACACCAACTTACCACTAGGTTGAATTTATTTGTTGGTTAATATGCACCATTTAATATATACATATATATATATATATATATATATATCATATTATTTAATAGAATTATTTAAAAATTGCACCTAGTGGGAATCGAACCCTTATTGTGAAGATATAAATTGTAGTATTTACCACTAAGCTACATTTGGTTCTTAGTTCACTTGCACCATTTAAAATATTTATTATATAATTAAGTATAAAATATAAATTTATATACATATCCGGTTTATGCGGTTGAACCAGTGATCCACTGACCCGGTACCCCGACCAAGTCGATCACCGGTCCGGGTTTAATAACATTGAGTGAAAGCGAATTTGGTCTGCAATATGGCCACGTGTCACGAAATTATTGATCACAAAATTTGCTACCATGATAGCGAATTATGACATGTGACAATCTGATAAAAAATAGTAGCAAATACTGTTCGCGTTATATTTAGATAAATTTTTTAACAAAAAGTGATAGTTTGATCATTGTTCTCATGTAACAACAGCAGACCTGACCGTACATGGGACAGCATTGATTTTGATTATCTGCGAGAAAAGGTAGATGAGAGAGGAGTTGGTCATTAATCGACACCACAGGCGACAGCTGTACCTTCTAACCTTTTCAATTTGTAGAATCTTGTTAATATATTCTTGAGATATTTTTGTGCTAGAGTTCATAAGTTGCTCATTTTTTGTGGCATGTAAGTATTCTGAAACTAAATAATTCCGTCATAATTCTCAAAACTTATTTTGTCAAAAATTATGAAATTTAATTTTTTTGCAATCCTTTTTCAAACAATCGCACTATCAAGTTTTTTTGTTTTAAGTAAAAAGATTGCCAAACTAAAAGTTCAATCATATTTGTAGTGAGGCATCCATTAAGGCAGTTATTGATTCAAACCCAAAACTTACTTTTTTTTATATTCTAATTTAATGATAATTTGTTCATAGCCTTTCCATCTGAAAGGGTTTGTGGTTTAATAGCGTTTCATAGCAACTTTTTTTTAAAAGGAAGTGAGAATTTGCAAACCTAGAGAGTAAATAGAGAGAAAGTAAGAAAATGAAGAGTAAAATTGATCATAAGGTGATTAATTGTCATAAGGATTGATTGTCAGTCGTCGGATATAAAATTGATCTAATGGTGATTAATTTAATTGCAAAAATGATAAATTTAATTAATAATAAATATAACATTTTCGATATTAAGTTATGTTGGAAACTTGTTTCATAATTTAAATAATGAATTAGTATTTTCCATGTTGTCATTATTATGAAATATTTCTCATATAGTATTTCTCTTTCTTTTCTTTATATAATTCTATATAGATCCTATATATTTTTATGTGTATAATTTTTTTAATTATAATATTATAAACATTAATTTCTTCAAATAAATGTAAAATCTGGCTTAATAATAAAAAGTATGTTACTGACAGTGTTTCTTTTTTCAATTTATGATTGGAGATGGTACTTTTGAAATTATGACCATGACCGTTGCTTCTTTTCTTTTAGCTTTGGTAATGGTAAATTATAACATTAAAGGTGCATGAAAATTGAGTAACTGACACTATTATTAAATCCGATTGAGTTGGGATATTGAGTTATTCGTTAGATCGATTGATCTGGATATATATAGATATATAAAAATATGAATATATAAATTTAATTATATTTTTTATGAGGAGGGATATTCTAACTACTAAAATTTTCTACTACCAACTTACTACCTATCTAATTACCATTAGATTAATATTTTCTCTCTCTTCAAATTTTTTTTAATATTCTCTCTCTTTGATCGAATGGTGATGTAATGGGTAGTAATATAGTAGTGAGAGTTTTTGGTAGTTAGAATATCCTCACTCTTTCTTTATATCTAAAATGAATTAAATAAGGTTCATTAAATAAGCTAAAAAACATAAAGTATAAATAAATAAAAATGCACGCTATTATTATGTCAATTTAAATTGCAACTCAGAATCCCCATAAACATACCTCTCAAAAGACATTGAATTTATATTTTTCAAATTCAACTACATTAAAATGACATATGTCACATTATTTTAATTTATTATAATGCAAATTGCTTCAGTATTGGAAATTAAAATTTGAGATCATTGTAGAAGAGTATACTAGCAAATAAAATTATAAATTTTTTCCACACTAAAAAAAAAATTATAATTTTTTTTAAAAATGAGTTCTACATTTTCCTGACAAGATGAAACAATTTTGATTTTTTATTTTTTTTAACGCATAACTCGACCGGGTCATCGGGTTACCGATTTTGTCCGGATTTTGACTGGATTTGATTGGGTCGATGTTTGACTGGTCCAATGCTTAATCCGAACCGATCCAATGACCGATTCACCGGGTTCCGGGTCAACCTGGCCGGATTGGATCGGGTTTTACAGGTGGAGCCGTGAGGTGAAAGGATAAGTTCGATCTTCTTCAATATTATATGTGGAAAGGGTTTAAAGCCTTAATTCTGTATTCACTCAGCATAAAATTACCTTATGAGGAAGATACTTGTGATTTATCAAAAAAAATAAAATAACACTAATTATTACAATTATTAGAAATATTTTAACAAGTGTCATTAAGGAATTAGTTAAAAATTAAAAATAAATTTTATAATTAAAGGGTTTAATATTTCTTATGATATAGGAGATCAATTTAACTGCTACACTCAAACATATAAAAGGGTGTGGATTATATGAAGAGTAGAAAATAAAATTTATTTCCTATAATATGAGAAATATTATATTCTTAATTAAAATACATAAATGTTTATTATTTTTTAAAATAATTTAGATTATAAAAAATATTATTTTTATTTCTCAACTTTTGATTTAGAGACACATGTTAAAAACCAACTTTTTGATGGCGACGAGTATTTGAGATTAATGTTTCTCGTGTTATAAGAGATAAAATTATTTTTTATATACACATAAAATTATGTGGGACTCATATGAGGTCATGTAAAGAGAAGAAAGAGAAAAAAAATATAACCCTCATATATTTTTATATGTATATGGAAAATAAAATCAATTTTTACATCATGAAAAGTACTAATCTCTTTAAATTTTTCACATTTTATTTTATTTTTAAAAAATCTAATTTTGACATTTTAGTGATATAAAAATAAGCACTTAAATTTAAAAAGAAAATAAAAGATGATTGAGGAAGTCAGCAAGCTAATAATCAGAATCAAAAACTCCATTGCATCTCCCCAGACACACACACACATACGCATACACACGGTTTCAAACACACAGTGAGTATGAAAAGGGTGAAAAAAACACAGACATGAAAAAAGAGGGAGATGAGTAACGAAGGGTAGGGGCCCCAACCACAATGGCCACATTTTTCATCTGCTTGCGTTTTTTTTTTTTTTTTAACTTTAAACTTTTAACTGCGAACTTTACGTTAATTTAAACGTCAAACCTTAACGGGCAACGATAATGATGGTGATGCTAGGCTTGTAGTGGTGGTAGCTTTCTTCAATCTCATCTGAAAGGTTCAGTATCCATCGCCAAAGTTTCGATATACAGGTAAACATGTAAATGACCTTACCCTCCTTTCTCAGAGTCACAGGTTTCAGTTGTCTACACCAACTAATACGCCAATAATAAACTTCACGTTTCCTTTCTTTTCTTGGCTATTTTTCTTCAAACTTCTGATTTTTATTATATGTCGTTTCTCGTTTCATGTGGGGGGGTCTGCTGCGTCGTTTTCTTCGTTAATCCAACGTAGCTGTGTTTTCTTATTTCTTTGTGCTTTTCTCTGAATATGTTTATGCTTTCAGGGTGTCTCCACTACCGTTGCTAGCTCAAGTTATTTTTTATTTTTTATTTTATTTAAAAAACACTACTAGAAAAATCATATAGCGAGGAAAATTTCCTTGCTAATTTCATCCTCGTTACTACTTTCCTTCGCAAATTCTATCGCAAACGATTATGCGAGGAAATTTGCCGGGGTATAAGTAGTAGCGAGGATAAAATTAGCGACGAAATTTGGATAGCAATTCCCTCGCTATATAGGATTTTTCTAGTAGTGAAAAAAGAAGAGAAGCTGCTATAGATATTGGTGATGCTAGCTGTGTGTTGTTTGTGAGAGTCAGTAACTAGATCCTTTAGAATGGAACCCCATAACTAGGGTTTCACTCGTTAGACATGGTGATTAATTAACGTTGTCATGTTGTTTTACGTAATTGGGTGGTTCTTGTACCGTTTGGTGGGTGGAAAAGCATCATGTAATGGAGCTGCTTTTGAGAGAATTATTAATGCTTTTGGTGTCTTCGTTTTTTTCCTACGGCAAGTTAAAGGTAGTGAGAATTGATAAAGGAAACAAGAACAAGTAAGTAGCTTTATTTGAGCCATTACAAAGTGAATAGAATAACGATGCTGGATCGGTTTCTTCACTCTCAGTTTTGCCTTGCCCACACATGTAATGTAATTATTGTGTTATATTTTTATGGTAGTTTTCTCCCTCCCTCTCACCTGTAGTGCAATTTGTGGTTATTTTAATTTAATTTTCGGTTAGAAAAAATGTGAAATTATAACTGACTTTTTTTTTTCTTATTGTTTTCTAATTAATTAAACATGTAAGGTCGGTTAACTCATTGTTTATGAGTTAATAAGAGGCTTTGGAATGAGCAGCTTAAGGCCTGAATCTCATGTAGCGCAACAAATTCGGCGGGATAAATTGAGAATCCAGAACAGTTCACAGGAATTTCCTAACAATATGGAACAGTTATCATTATTACACCCTGGGTTTAACTTGGATCTTCTTCCAGTTAGGAATGTTAGGAATTCTAATTTGCTTGATGAAGAACCTGCTGTTTATTCATCAGAAATGCAAAACTTTTCAAACCCTTTGCAAAGGAACGGATTGGAGTATCAGGAACTAGGTGCAGCTGAATCTGGTAGCAGGCTAATGATGCATCAGTATGGTTCATTTCCTCATTCCTTGTCTGGTATTCATTCTTCTTCCCAAAAAGAACAGTGTAATTATTTGGGAAATTGGAGAAGCAGTGCACAGAATCAACAAGGTTGTGATTGGATTGTAAATTATGGAAGCAGTTCTCTGTCTGCTGCTGAGCTCAACAATGTGTCCACTTACAATGAAGTTACTGAAATACAATTTAACAATGCTTCTGGTGGAGAAATTCAAAAGCAATTAGGTGTAATGCATCATCATCATCATCCTCCTCATTCTTCTTCATCTCCACTTTATCAGAATGCTTTGCAGGATATTGTTAAGTCAGCTTCTATTAGTGCTCATGGATCAGACATGTCTTCACTGATGCAGCAGCAGCAGCAGCAAACTGGCCATGGCATTTGGGTAGGTGATGCTAATGAATTTGAACCTCAACCAAGCTATGGAAATCAGAATAATAATCCGTTGCGTTTTGGGTGGACAAATCGAACGGTTGATTCTAATCCTCAGAGCTTATCTTTATCATTATCATCAAATGCACAATCCAAGCCTTGTGTTTCTCAGTTTGAAGATGGGACTGCATCAGATGACCTTCAATCTGGAAGTGGCATTTCTAAGGATCCTCAATGTTTGAAGTATATGAAGTCTATTGTGAAGTCCTCTATAGAAGACACGGTTGGGTTAACTTCAAAGGCTAGTTATAGAAATGTGGGTCCCCTTGGCCCTTTCACCGGGTATGCTACTATTCTTAAGAGTTCAAGATTCTTAAAATCTGCTCAACAATTGTTAGATGAGTTTTGCTGTCTCTCTGGTTCAAAATTTGGGAAAACATGTGATGGTTCAGAAAGGGTCTCTGAAGATGTTAGTGCTTCTACTTCTGCTGATACTGTCACAGTCAATGAAACTGGGGTTGCCACAAATAATGCTAGTAATTCAGGTTCTTCATCATCTATGTTCTATATTTCAAACGAAAATAGTGCTGATATGGGAGCCGGAAGTGGTAGCTTTTGTCTTTCTTCGCGGCCGGATTATCAACAGAAGAAAGCAAAGCTACTGTACATGCAAGAGGAGGTTGGTTCTCACTGTTCCCATATATGACTTTGTTTTATTAGTTGCTTTCCAATCTGGGAGTAGATCCTCTCATGTGAAAAAGTGGTCATGTGGTCATGTTATTTGATCACAACTAGTCATTTAAAAATTATACACATTTCTGTCTCTTATCTCATCATCAATGAGTGGTTGTGATCAAATAACATGACCACATGACCACTTTTCCACGTGAGAGGATCTACTCCCTTCCTATCTAGTTATTTTGGCATAATGTCTGTCAGAAACTTACTGTAATAAGAAAAAGGCCAAATGCTTTTCTGAAAAGTTTGGTTGCAAAGTTAAAACCCGGTTTAATATCTCACTGTCCACAGAATATGGGGAAACAAAATTGTATCCTAGTTTGCATTTTAATTTGTCCATTCCTTTCAATGTACTTCGATTTTTGTAGCTTATAGCTTTCGGTAGTTGCTATAAAGGTACCGTACTCTCTGTGATTTGTGGTAGTTCTATCGTAAAGATTTATTAAATATAATCAACAAGCAATAAATGTTTTTCTCAACTCACCCAGGACCATGGTATATATCCTTAAAATATATGAGTACAGGCACAAAGGGCAAAAGAATAAAGATCTCATCACATTATATAATATAATACAACTTGGGTTGTTGGTAATGCTATTTTGATTGGGTAGCCTCCTTATGGTCAAATCTATTCCTTTTTACTTTCTAGTTCATTTTTGTGGTCTCTTTAATTGTTGCTCTTATCCTGTTCCCTTCTTTCTCATTGTTGGTGGTGCCTTGGCTTTGAATCGCCTTTAAACTTGGGATGTATTTTCATCTAAATCCTACATTTATGTCATAGGTTTCCTCACACTTAGTGAATTCGGAAAAGAAGAATGAAAAAGAAAATTGATAAAGTTCATTACTCCTGTATGAATTGATTTTAATGTTTATTATTGTAGTGCTCTAAAGTTACTATTTGCTGTTATATAATCAAAAGACCTTCAATTGAGGTGACGCATTGCGGTGGGAATGATTATAAGAAACAAGTTCATTATCGAACATTATATTACATTTATAGGTCGCCTTTGGTTGTAGATTCTGAGAGTGTTGACTAATTTCTCTGTCATCCATAATGTTTAATGTTTCATTGTTTGTTTATTTCATTGATAAATTGTTGGTCTTCATATAATATTATTTTTTAATGTAATGTCTTGTGAATTCTAAGAGTGAAATTTTGAATGATTTTATTGAATCTATCTCTGCATATTGCTTTGACAAAAATGATATGGGGAATTATGAAATAGGAATTCTCGGTAAAGTACCGTCAACTTGCCCTCAATTGACCTCTTGAGTAGTTATCAATAAGAATGGTTAATTGTTGATAGAATGGAAATTTATTGATCAAGATTTTTTTTTTTAATTTTGTAATTATCCCATACAACAAATTAAATTAGCTCCCTAATTGGCATCACCATGGAACTGGCTATGTAAATTTTAAATGTATCTAATCTTGTTAACATAATGATTGTACTGGTCTAAGATTCATCTCTTTTGTTGTTCTTTCATTTTTTACTTGGAAAATGTGTCATCCTCAATTGCTAATTTCGTATTCCTTCCATCCTCTACTACAAATGAATTACATTTACTGTAAGAATATAAATATAATGTGTTGCTGACTAGAGGAAATTTTAAGTATGCATTTGTAAATCACAAATCCGTTTGTGTACCCACTTAGATGTCGATGTGTAATTACTCCGAAACAGTTTAGTGCTCCAAACAAAGTTTCTGAAGATAAACGCTTTCAAGTTTTGATTTAGGTGATGAATAATGGGTATATATAGATTATGTGGATATGACTGCATTGTTTCACTCCTGGTTGATTTGGAGTTACCATAGTTTCAGCCTTTCAGGCAGTGACAGAGCAAAATTGTGGACGCTGCATCCAATCAATCCCCTTCATTTCTACTCGCAAACTTAACTTTATTGCTAATACTGGAATGCCCCACCTGGTTACTGTCAACTTGGTCAAATTGACCGGTACCTGTTGGTATTTATTGTCTGTAAAATGTACTTCAACATGCAGCTTGTACAAAGTTGGCTAAAAAGAATCTCGATTGCTGTGAAGTTAAACAAATATTATGTTAATATGTTTCTACATCATCACTTTACAAGGCATGCTACAGTTATTTGAAAAATCTTAGATTTTGTGATGAATTGCTCCCGTGAAGTCAAAGTAATTTTATTGGTTTAAAATAAGGGGAAAGTCATATTTACAAACTTTTTGTTTACAAACCAAATTATGTTTACCGGTAAGACACTCTTAAGTGAAGTCTAAGAGTGTCTTACCGGTAAGACATAGTGTAGTTTGTAAAAAAAAAAAAATTTGTTAATATAACCCTCTTCTTGAGTAATATGATTCTCCAGGTTATCCTAGATCGAGCTGGTTATAAATTTTTGTTAAATCTTTTAAAAGATTGCTTTTGACACTGTTGCATTGTGCAAATATATAATAGGTTACAAGGCATTTCAAGCAGTACCATCAACAGATGCAAATGGTTGTTTCATCCTTTGAGTCAGTAGCGGGTCTTAGTTATGCTACTCCTTATATCTCGTTGGCTCTCAAGTCAATAACAAGACACTTCAGGTGCCTAAAAAATTCTATCTCAGATCAGCTTAAGCTTATAAGCGAAGTCTTGGGAGAGGATTTGTCAATACCTTCCACCAGCACTAGTAGCAAAGTTGACACTAACATGGAAAGGCTAAGGTGCATTGATCATAACTATCAGAAGAACAAATCTAGCAGAGTTGCCACGGGCCTTCTTGAACCCCAACAGCATGCTTGGAGGCCCCAGAGAGGCTTACCAGAACGTTCAGTGGCAATTCTCAGAGCTTGGTTATTTGAGCATTTTCTTCATCCGTATGTGTCTCTTTCTAGCTCCCTGACTCTTCTCTGTCTTCCAAAAAGAAAGAAAAAGAGATTGAATTGTGTTTTTTATTTTTTATTTTTGGCTGTTGAATTTTTTTTCAGTTACCCCACAGACACTGATAAACACATGTTGGCTACTCAAACAGGTCTTTCTCGAAACCAGGTTGGGGTTTACTCCTTTAAATTCATTATTATGCCTGTAGGCTTTTTGATTCGGTTTATTGAATTTTGTATAATTGACATATGTTCACATTTGTAAAACTATTCCTTCATAATCGAAAGGTCACGAGTTCGAATCCAGAAAACAGCCTCTTTGCAATTATACAACTAGTCGGGTTTAACGGGGGAGTGGTTTTGGTTTTTTTTGACATATGTTCACATTTGTAGCTTTTTATGTGTCTCCATAATTGACATATAATTACTATCTTTGCTAAGCTGTTTAATGTAATATACTGCTAAAATAATGGTGTAACTGTAACCGATTATTGTAGGTATCAAATTGGTTTATAAATGCCAGAGTTCGTGTGTGGAAGCCAATGGTTGAGGAAATACACATGCTTGAAACAAAAACAACAACAGGTGCCAACGAGAACTCTAGTAAAAATGAGGGAACTTCGTGCACTGAAGGTAGTACCAGACAGCCTAGAGTGGATAAGCCAATGAGCAAATTTGGCATGCATTCAATACCTGAAAACCAATATCAGGATATTGAAATGGGTTCATCATCCATAGCCACCAATGTGGAGGAAAGCGAGTTGAATGCAGAACAATGGAGTCAAGAGAAACGGTCTAGATTGGAATGTATGAATTCTAGCATGGATGGTACACTGATGGGTTTTGTGCCATATAGACGTGGTGGAATTGAGATTGGAGGACTTGGGTCTGTGTCACTAACATTGGGTCTTAGGCATGGCCATGTTGAAGGTGTGCAGCAACAACAACAACAACAATTGCAAGAGGAGCAGCTTAGACGTCACCTTGGAGGGCATATGATCAATGACTTTTAAGGTTGATTATCATGCCTTGTAATGAATGGGTTGGGAATGAAAAAGGAGTTAAGAGTAAAGATAAGGGACACCCTGTGCTACTAAGTCACGTGCTATAAGAAGTGACAAGCAAAATTTGTGGCCAATAATTTGGAAAATGTGTGGGGTGTTTACATCAAGTGTGGAAATGGGTGGCCAAAGTTCTATACTTTGGTATATCTCTTCCACGAGGGCATTGAAAACGGTGACAATTGTGTTGTGAGGTTTGTGTTAGAGAAAGATGGGGTGTAAGCCAGTGAGTAACTTATGGTTTAAGCATTTATTAACTTGATGTGATCTTGAGCACGGAAAAAAATTCAAGATTCCAAGATTTATAGAAATATAATTATTTATTATATATGATGGGAAAATTTCATTCTCTCCCAAAAAAGAAGAAATTAGTGTATAAAACGTAATCTTTGTGAAACATAGCTCCATGATTTCGTTATTAAAATTGAGTACCATGATTTCGTTATTAAAATTGAGTAGATGGAAATTTTAGAAATATGGGGACAGTTGAAGTAGGAGACAATAACCATCTGACAGGGTTCTTTTGTTAGTATTGTCACAATCTACAATCACATACAACGGACGATTATTAATTATGCTCCTTCAAAATTAAAATTTTGCTTCAGAAGGTTCGGGTTAGAGTCATGTACGTTGCAAAATCGAACTCGTTTTTAACTTTCCTATGCACAAAGAAGCAAGTACATTCTGTACTTAAAAAAGAAGAAAAAAGAAGCAAGTAAATTTAAGGCATGCATTGCCATGTTCCGATTATCGACTTCTGTCTATGTATGACCTGCTAGGCCAATTGAGACCTAATTTTAATATCTCTCTCTATATATATATATATGAAAAAAATATTTATCTTTTTTAAAGAATCTAACTTTATGTCATTTTAGGTCTTTATCGTTGATTTCCGTCAATCAACGGTTAGGATTTATTAAATTTTATTATGAATTATTAATTAATTAATAAATTTGACTTAATAAATCTTAACCGTTCATTGACGGAAATCAACGATTAAGATCTAAAATGACATAAAGTTAGATACTTTAAAATGACAAATGTTTTTAAAATTATATCGGAAAAAACACTCTTCTCTAGGTAGTTGTAGTTGTTCTTGTGCTATTTGAAAATTAAAAGGACTTATTAGCATAATTTTAAACTAAAAAGACTATTAAATTCATAGGAGACTAAATTAGCTAAGCATAAATTGAGAAAGAGAGAAAGAGCATTTCACCTTATGTTTGGAGTGAGAGAAAGAAAATATGAACAATTTTTTTTTTAAGATTTGAGATTTTTTCTTATTTGGTTGGAGAGAAAAATGTAGAATAAAGAAAATCTAAAAAATCAAAATTCAAATTTTCTTTCAAGTCTCTTCATTTTTCTTATTTTCTTTCCTCTCATCCAAAACTAAGGACCAGACTCGGTTTATAGCACACCATTGTAGTTAGAAATTTCACATATTAGATAAGCAATTAAAAAATAGGTTTAATGTGTCTCATGTTTTAGGAGATAAAATTATTTTTTATATATTCATAAAAGTGTATAAGCTTATCTTTTTTTCTCTCTCTCCTTTTAACATGACCCCACATGAGCCTACCCATTTTTATGTGTGTGTACGAGATAATTTTATTTTCTACAACATAAGAAACATCAAACCCATAAAAAAATATACTAAAAAGGGATTTTTAAAAAGAAGGAGTAGATGACAAATTGTAAAAGTTATTAAGTGAAGACTTATTAATGGTTGGCGTCTCTTTACTCAAGAGTTCATGGATTACATAAGTTTTGATGTCACGTAAAAAAATCAATTTACCTAAGAGCTTAAGTTGTTAAGTAAAGATTTATCAATAATTTTTATATGAGCAGAGTTATATTGATTTTTTTTTTTTTACAAACTTATAAACTGTATCATGTCTTATCAATGAGACTTCACTCAAGAATATCTTACCGGTAAGACATAGTGTAGTTTGTAAACAAAAAAATTGTAAATATAACTTTCTCTAATTTATATTATGGGTTTGGTGTTTGTCATTTCAAATGACATAAGTTATGTCATTTTAGGAGAGAGATAGACACAGAAAATGGAAATCATAGGAGAAAGAAAGTGTGTGGTTTTTTTAATTTAAAATTCAAATTTTCTGTGTCTGTATCTCTCTTAAAATGACATAACTTTCTGTCATTTAAAATGATAAACACTTTTCCCTTATATTATATATCACTAACACAAAGTTTTCCAATTCAATTTTCAACTGCTACTACAATTTCTGTTTTGGCGGTTGAAACTTAAACGGTTGCAACTTACAAAATCCCATTTCAACCGCTTGTAAAATTTCTGTCGTGTTCCAGTGAATCTCACCGATAAGACTGTACATATGCAATGAAGATATGTCTGGATGACTTACTGTGCTACAAATTTCAGAAGTATTATTTTGCTTACTGGTTATAAACATGATAAGATATATGTATTTTTGAAGAAACGATAGGAACACACTATTACAAAATATAGCAAAAGCAAACTGTCTCATATCTTTATTAATTAACAGAAAACGAAATACATTCAGTTCTAGGGTACTGAGAAATTCTTGCGTACATGATGCAAGGAACAACCAGGATTGCATCATAAATTCTAAATCCCAGCCCTTCCTTTGCTTGTAAATCTCTTGCTCATAAGAATTTTTCGTATTTTACCTACACATATAGCAATCATCGATTTAATTATCAAACATTAACTTACAAGCCTTATGAATATATATATATATATATATATATATATATATATATATATATATATATATATGAGGCCGGATCCTTTGACATCGGTGTCAAATTTGAAGTTTGACACCTTATCTGAGAGCCGTTAGATTAAAAAAGAGCAATGACTCTGATTTGTAAGCATGTGACACCATATATTGATCTTTTTTGATCTAACGGTTCTTAGATAAGGTGTCAAATTTGGTGTCAAAGGATTCTGCCTATATATATATATATATATATATATGGAAGTATCTGTTTACAAACTTTTTTGATAAATTTTTACTAATTATACTATGTTCTTCCGGGAGAACATAGTGAAATGAGTGTTCTCCCGGAAGAGAATATAGTGTAGTTTGTAAACAAAAAAGTTTGTAAATATAAGTTACCCCTATATATATATATATATATTCTTCATCTATCAAACATTTCATTCCTCCCCATAATGTGCACCATAATTCTTGTGAGGAATGGAATGTTTATCATTATGATCTCATTGACCAAAGCCAGGTTTGCCATAATCCTTGCGAGGTATGTTATGATGATCATTATCGTCATTGATATCAAATTGGCCAGAGCCAGGTTTGCCATAGTCCTTTCGAGGGATGTTATGGTGATCATTCTGATCACTAAGTAGTTTGTTTTCCGTGCCTAGCTCCTGTTGCGTTTTTCCATGCATTTTGGCTACTAAATTCCTCATATCTGTGGCCATACAAGAACTTGCAAGCATCAACACTAGTGCAATTGCCAGAAGCCTCATTTTGACACTAGTTATACCACCTTCCCCTTCCTGTCTCAACAACAATATTAGAGAAATGAAATCATTGTATGCATGCCTGCTTTATGCTCTTTTCTAGTAACAACAACAATATTATTATAACCAATGGCATAAGCTATGTATATGATATAACATTAAAAAAAAGAAATGGGAAGCAGGGGAGTAATGTCAGATATGTAAATAAATGTACAATAATTCCAAAAATAACCAACATGTTAATGCTAGTTAACTCACCAGATATAACTTGGATGCTATATATCTATTTATGAATCTGTATGTATGGAGAAGAAAGAAGAGGCTCAAGCTGGTTTTATAGGGCATGAGAATGCTATGGCTAATGAGATTGGAAATTGGGAAGTCAACTTCAAATAATACAATGGTGGGGTTGTCACCGAATGAGGCAAGCTTAAGTGCGATGCCCATTAAAATTGTTATTCAGCCATATCAAATGATGAAATGTTCTGTCCAAATTTATATGTGGACTAAATAGGGAAATTCCACCTGATTCAGGGGTATTGGTTATGTTGATTGATGTAAATTTGGGATCGCTAATTCCTCCTCCTTTTAAAAAATTAATATCCGTTGCAATTTGGTTGTTGGGAAAAGACTAATTCAGATAAAAATCATTGTGAGGACTCTGGTCATTTAGCCTACAGACTAAAATTAATATCCGTTACATATTCATTTTAGTCACTTCAATTTGTATATTTATCTCAATTTCAATATGAAAGCGTGTTTGATCCTCATGTATCTAATATTTTGGCGTCTTTTAGTACTAATTTATATATAATTTGGTAACTAATAAGTAATAACAAAGGCTAATGTTTTCAATCATTGATTCAATTGAAAGAAATGAAAGTGCGTAAAACCTGTTCTTAAATAGAAGGATAAATATCAAGGTATGATGCTAGTGGGTATTAAAGGGGATTGGTTCAAGTGGTATAAGCTTGATTCCGTTTAAGCAAAATTTTGAATTCAAGTTCTTGTAAAAGCAAAAAATCCCATTTGGAAGAACTAATCCTCCAGCTCGAACATGATTACCTTCCACATGATATCTGTGGTTTATCCAAAAAGAGGTATGATGCTAGTGGGATGGATAAAATCATATCAAATCATATATGTTTTAAAAGCTTGCGCTATTTGTATTTATTTTGGATTGACCTTCATAACCCACTATACATGGGTTGACCTGGTAAGACCCTTTAAGGGGTCACTTCTTGTCTCCTTATAATAAGCACGTAGTCTTCACCTAATACGATTTTTCACTCCCCTACACTGCTTACCATAGTACACATAGTAATGCCCATCCTCACAGTGAGGTATTCAAAAATGGTTATCACTCTTCTCGTTCATCATTTGAAATATTTATCACCTATATAAATCTCTTTTCTATATATATATAATGGGAGTATTGAGGTATAAATCTATCACTTTATACAAACTTCCTCAATCTTTTGCCATTAGACCAATTATAATGGCTTCTTATATAAACCTCTTTTCTGGCACTGACGAGCCACCTTTCATTCATACATCTTTTGAGCTGTTACTCTAAGGTCATTATGCCCTTGCATTTCCCCCTTTTGTGAACCATCTCTGAGAAAACATGTACAGTGATTCCTTATAAAGATTTGGTCTATATCACATTCTCCAAGTGCATCCATACAGGGAAATGCTTTATCTTTTGAGGGAACAAATTTAATGTGCTTCCGACACACATGGTCCGAGAGAAGAGAGAGACAGAGAGAATGTGAGGAGAGA